TATTGCTAAATATCTATATTGCTAAATATCTATATTGCTAAATATGTATATTGCTAAATATGTATATTGCTAAATATCTATATTGCTAAATATGTATATTGCTAAATATCTATATTGCTAAATATGTATATTGCAAAGTATTTATATTGCTAAATATCTATGTTGCTAAATATCTATATTGCTAAATATGAATTTGCTAAATATCTATATTTAAACTGAGATAAAGTAACTTTAATGTAGGTTGATTGGCTGTGGCGACCATCTTGAAAAAGGGAAAAAAGTTATTCTGTTATAAAACTCCATCCGATAATTAGTTTATGCAAGTTTCATTCGAGAAATATGATGCTTTTAAGTACTTTTTCACATTTAAATCTGGGTCTTTATGAAGTAAAACTGCAATGCTTTGCTTTGAATTCCTCCTTATTGTAACTCCACAAGCCCCCTTTTTCACCGTATGTCTCAGATCAACTCGTTTAGAGGCTGTCTCTTGTTCACACAGTTCATTCCCGTTTGATGGAGGGGTTTACGATTATATAGCAGCGCAGAAACTTTGAAGGAAAGCACACGCCCATCACCTTGCGTGTAAAAGTGATGTTTTAGTTTTCAGATGTTGAAGTTACTGAAGCTTTAGTTTGTCTTTGCAGCCATGAAAACATTAAAACTGATACAAAACAAAGACGAAACCATGTTTTACTCAACGTGTGGTCAGATTGTTGAACATCAGAATCCACTTTTTACAACAGATTATAATAAGTCACCTGATCTTCACGTAGATTACAGGTTTCCTCTCTGGGTCCAGCTGAGACAGTCCAGAAGGCCGTCACCGCCTGAGTCACCGTCAGAGTTCGTTTCCTCTTTTCCGTCTCCCTTTTCTCCCTCCTCCTTTTCTCACTCATAAAAGGAGTCCAAAAATCAAAGGATTAATTCAGCATCATTGGTTTGAAGCAATTAACTGCTGTTCCAGCTAATCCCTGGAGTTATGCCTCGCATCCAGAAATTGGCCGCTGCAGATGTGCAGCTCTACCCTCCGTGCATTGTTTTGCTTTTGAGAGAAAAAAATGTTTTCAAACTCTCTGAAGAACAAAAGAATGGTGAAACTTTGTATAATTAGGTTTATCTTTGCACTTCAATGCCTCCCACAGTCATCTTTTTTATTTTTTTATTATTTTTTTAGCAGAGCTGATAGTTAATCCGCTGCATTCATTCGACATAATTAAAATAAGAACTCCATTTATTCAATCTAAAGCCGGCCAATTTGCAGAAGTTATTGGCCATTACAAATTTGGCTTCAGGTTTTTAGAGCTTCTCCTCATGAGAAATCATGCTGTACATTTTAATAGGCGCCCTATATCCCCGATTCTCCACACTGGGATTAATTTAGTCACAGCTCATAGAAAAGTTGAATCGTTTAGGTTTGGTGTTTAACGTTTTAATGAATGCTTTATTCTCCGGGGAAGATTTATTCTGACATCGCTGCTTATGGCAGCTCATGGGGAGGAAAAAAAAAAGAGTTAGAGGCTGCAGCCTCAGATGGATTTTACAGATCAGAGAAACTTTCAGCACCGTGCAGTAACCTAACATGACCACCAGGGGGCGGAATAACACCACACTGAAACATATCAGGGACAACAAGGGTTTGTTGGTTGTATTTCTGCACTGAGGTGAAACTTAAACTGTTAGTTTTGTTTAAAAAAAACACATTTCTTAATGATATTTGAGGTTTTTTTATTTTTCTAATCAAAGTGATGCAGAGTGAAAAGTTCATTTGTTATTTCATTCATAAAAACAACAACAAAAAAATCCATAAAAACAACTTAAACTTGAAGAATATCCATATTAGATAAAATAAAAACAAAGTTTAATAAAATCAATTAATTAAATTCCTATTTTTATTCCAAACTGCATTTACCCAAAATAAATAAATAAATAAATTTCCACAACAACAATTACACTAAACAATTATGTTTTAAAAGTCATGTTTTATTTCCTGTTTTTTTATTCATTTCAAAACTTTATTTGTAATGAGTCTAAGGTAAACACATGGCTCTGTGCGTTTTTGAAGAAACATAAAGGCCAATATTAATATATGAAAGAAAATATTTGTAAAAACTGACAAAAATGCATTTTCTGCAGAGATTCGGTGTGAACGTTGAGTTCGGAGGAGCTTTTTAGAAATCTGCTGAAGCAGCTGAAACTGAGCTGCTAAAGCTAAAAGAAACAGAGCACTAGCTAAAAGTTAAAAGTAGCAAAATGGCAACTGAAGTGGCTGAAAGCTAATTGTTGCATGATGGCTAAAATTTAAAAGTAATGCAGGGAAACAAAAAAATTTGCAAGAATGCTGACACAGATTTCAAATAGTAGTTCTATAGAAAAAATGTTTGCAAATTAAAGGAATGGAAACCTTTAAATCTAAAAGTTACACATGAAATAAGAAGCAAAACGACCCTGGAGAGACAGCAGAGTGAACGCAGCCGCTCACATTCAGACAGCCCTTCAGTTAGCAGCTTTGTTTTTATACTTCATTCCTCCTCCTTACAGGCACTGATCTAACAGGAAGTGAGCGTAAAGCAGGGAAGGATTGGACGAGCAGTAAAAAGTTATTCCAAGTATTTTTTTACTTCCCGGTGTGTACTCAAATTCTTATCTGACCTGATGACAGCAGGTCAGCGCGCTCTGTAATAAACTGAAGTATTTTTATTGTTTAAAATGATTATATTTCATTTACAGTTTCGTGTTTCATAAAAACAGAAAACTCACTTTTTAGACCAAAGTTTTAAGAAAAAGATCTTGTTAAATCTGTTAGAGCTCCAAGTTTGAGCTAGGAATGACTCTCAGCTACTTTAAGACCAAATTTTAGCTCAGTAGTTTTAGATTTGTCAAAGATAAATCCATTTTTGTTTGTTAGGACAAATTCCAAAGGATGCCAGTCATTCCCTCTGTCCTTGTTACACCTTTTGCAGCTTTTCCACCAACAGGTTTAACTTGTAAATGTTCTCTTCTTCTTCCTTTTCCAGTTAGTCATGTCCCGAGCCTAAAAACAAGTTCCTTATCCCAGACCAGAGAAACCAAACCGACCTCAAGGCTGCGAAAAGCTGGAGCCGCACCCAGAGTTCCAAGAAATTCTTCATTCTTTGAGAAGAAACGCAGCGGGACAAGCCTCCCTCGGACAGAAAACATCAAATTATCAGTTTCCATTAAAGCTTTAATGGTTCTCACGTTTCACCGTGAAATTATAAAATAAAACAAGTTGAAATGACATCACAGACCTTTTCTCATTAAACACAGTGAGTGTTAGAGGCAGAGCTTGAGTAAAATATTTTGGGGGAAGTTTTATAATGAAAATATTTGACTTGGAAAAAGTTTTCTTCTTCTTTTATAATGATATTTATTTCTATTCATTTTCATCTTTTAAAAACAGCAGAATTTGCAAACAACTTCCTATTTTTTGTCAGTCTGACATCATTTTAAAATATTAAATCAATTATTCTGATCAGTTACTCAGTACTCAACTTTACAAAATCCTATTTTACTAATATTTAAGTACATTTTGTGTACTCTGCCCACTTGTGGTTAGAGGTTTAAAAACTGAAATGTTTTAATGTGACGCTTCATTAATGTGGAGTCGTTCCTTAAAACAGAGATTCTTTTGAGAAGCTCACAACTTTGACAACTTTGATATAAAAATAACACCATTTTTTGAACTTTTCAAAATTTAAACAGCAAAACTGTGAACCTGATGCTCCTGTGAGGAAACGTGTCACAGTTTAAAGTTGGTTTAGACCCTGCAGATTAACACAAGGAGACAAAAATATATATTTTCTCGTAAAACAAAAAAGAGCTGTCAAAGCAGCAAAACCCACAAAATATGAGGATCAGAACAAGAGGAGTCGCAGAGGGAAGGAAATACGTTTGACTTGCAAAAAGTAATTATCAAAGCGGCAAAAAATAAAAACTTTATAGTGCAACAAGAGAGTTTTCTGCAGCCAGAGAAGAGGCTGAACTGAACAAAGGTCTCCAGAGTTATCAAAGATCACATGACTGAAGTCCTGTGATCTCTGCAAGCCTTCAGGAGCCAAAGGTTCAAGAGAGACAATAAGAAGAGCAACAACAACGAGTGGAATTCAGCCTGGAAAATAAAACCATCATCATGGCAGGAAGTCTGCTGTCAGCTCCGATTCTGTGTGTTGATCCTGTTAGTAAATTCATCAAAGATCAGCTCTGTTTGTTATCAGGGAGCCTCTGTTTTTCAGCAGAAAGCTTTCCTAATCTTTTGCCAAATTTAAACTTTAAAGTAAACCTTTGGTTACTCCCACGTAAAGCATCAACAGGGATCAGCCTGAAGCATCACAGCCTCTGCAGCTCTTTTCTGATTAACCAGCTGAATAATGACTATTAAAGACAGAACAGGTTCACTGATTTAGAGGATTAATAATTGATCTTATTGTTTTTTTTTTAATCTCTCTCCAGTTTAGCAGCAGGTCTGAGTGTTTGAATGAATTTCCCTGGAAACTGAAAAGTTCTGGTAAAAGTGGAAGAGTGGAGTGAATGATGAGGACAAGCTTCTAAACTTCCTGGACTATTACTGAAAACTTTCTTTAGCTGTTTGTTTGTTTTTGTGTGTGTGTGTGTGTGTGTGTGTGTGTGTGTGTGTGTGTGTGTGTGTGTGTGTGTATGTGTGT